AATTTTCTGTCTTTGCCATGGCTGAGTTTGAAGAGTGAGCGTGGGGTCTTATTAATTGTATTCCCCAGTATTCAAGTTACCAATTTCTTTTACTGTATGCGCTAGTCATCAAGAAATTACAAACAACCGAGAAGAACTTTAATAAGACCCCACGCTCACTCTTCAAACTCAGCCATGGCAAAGACAGAAAATTATCTAAATTTCCAAGCAAGATAGGGTTTTAGAAGTAAATATGGGATAAAATGTTAAGGATTAGCGCAAAATTTCAGGTAAGTGTAGCTCTGCAAGAGCCGTACTGCGCACACATTTGATAGAGTACCTGAATGACGAAATAATGAATAATGCGCGAGTACTCCTGTAGAGTCCTGACGCGCTTTTGTTAAGTAAAAACCATTTTGCTTGCTCAACTTCATCCTGCAAGTGGATTATGAATAATTTTGAAGTAGTGAGAAGTTCTACAGCAGAACTACAAGGAGAATCACAATAGGAAGGTACCTCAGTTCACTAGAAAAATGCCTGGTGTCCCTTATTTCATAAAATAAAGCAGTTACAGCGTTCGAAATATATTATAGGTATTTCCCTATGCCAACAGCAGTTCTTTTACTTACTTTTTTTCCCAAAGGCACAGTTGAGCTCAATGTGCATCAAGAGTCGTTTGACTTTCTGAACATGAATACCACATTCGCCCACAGGGGGTGACGGCAAACGGCAAAATCGCACTTGCCGTCAGGGTAATCGTGCCGGGACTGTGCATCCGGCGCGCAGTCCCGGCACGATTACCCTGACGATGCTGATTTCCCCGCGCGCTCATACGATCGCACAACCACGAAGTATGAAAGCGCTCTTATGTACCTGTATTTTGCATAATGTGGTTGTGCGGAAGTATGAGCGCGCGGGAAAATCAGCATCGTCAGGGTAATCGTGCCGGGACTGCGCGCCGGATGCACAGTCCCGGCACGATTACCCTGACGGCAAGTGCGATTTTGCCGTTTACCTTGAGTCCGCCACAGCAGGGCACATCGTTGTTGGGGAATCCCCAATAGGGGGGTCGTATTTGGGCTGAGAAAAATTTATTTTGATAGTTGATTTTTCTCGCTTCATGGACGTTGTAAAGGGGGGGGGGTCGTATTTGATCATTTTTGGGGTAAGGCTTTTGGCTGGCAGGAGTTTCCTGCAATGACAAGAAGTTTGATGTACTTCTTGCCGATCGAGGGCTCGCCTTGGCGAGATGGACGTGCAGTACTACAATCTTCCGTTGGGTGCACTGGTGGGCATGGCCGCGACGTAGCGCCCATGATATAGTTGCCGGGTATATTACTGGCGTTGTTTCGCTTCGTACAGTCATCCGTAGCGTGTGTCAGTGGCGACATGTGGTATCGTGGGCTACAGATCTCTCAGGCTGCGTTTATATTTTGCAGCAGCGCAGCGTAGCGTAGCGCTTCCAGCGTACGCCAGCGGCAGTGTCGGGGAAAGGATAGATATCGATCTAGCGTTCCCAGCAGCGTCACCAGCGTACGCTAGCGTTACGCCAGCGCACGCTAGCGTAGCGAGGGCACGGGAAGCATAGCTATCGATCTAGCGCTCCCAGCGTTTCACGAGCGTTTCACTAGCGTTTCGCTAGCGTTTGCCAGCGGCGGGGCTAGAGAGTATAGAAGAGTAGGAGAGTATTTTGTACTCTCCTACTCTTCTATACTCTCTAGCCCCGCCGCTGCAAACGCTAGCGAAACGCTAGTGAAACGCTCGTGAAGGCTGCGCTACGCTGCCGCAAAGTATAAACGCAGCCTCACAGCTCACCAGAGACGCTATTACAACGGCGCAGCTCGCCACC